ATGCTTCGTATGAGAACCGGATCTACCCTCACGTATATCAGATGAAATATATCCCCATAAGTCTGCTGAAAAGCTTGCCTCTCAATAAGATTCCAACTTTCCCAAATTGTTTTCAATCCCTGAAGCTCATTCTGTTTTAAAGAAGCTGGTGTATAATCAGACAGATCCGACACGTAGTTCCCTGATAGACTATCTCCCTGCTCTTTCTGCTTGGCTTCGGACCAGTTCCTTACATCTGCTGGATTCACTTCTTTGTTTAGGAAACTCCTTTCCATCGTGAAAGTCTTTCCACTTTATCGATACTCACAGATCAATCGCCTTTTCTAATGATATGTCTATGCAGTATGAAAAAAAATAAACAAAACAAACGAAACAGTTAGTCAAAACAATTGCATAAATTTAACATAAAAAGATAAGTAAAACGGGAAATAAATCTATTCTATTTATGTATTATCTACCCGAATAATATTCCTCAAAAAGGGTCCTACCCAAACATGCTTTCTAGCCTCCTAATTAATTAAATTCTAACTGCACCTAAATTCTATTTCACATGCTTTAACAGAATAAATCTATTCTACACACTCAAAAATAAATAAATAAAATAAAATAAAAAGGTTAGAGGGTTTCTCCATTGTGTACGCCTATTTTAGGTACCTATTGACGGACAGAGATTCAGTAAGACTCTACCTAGTGTGACCGTTCTATGGTTCACTATATGCATGGTTTCAGCTCTAACAAGAAAAAAGGAACTCGAACTGTCCTTGATGTCGGTGCCCCCTTGGGCTACCAAACCCTCAATCCTTACCCATTACAGGTTTCAAACGGACCGAGTTCAATTCGAGGGGATTCACTGCCTTATACCCATACGAGGAATAAATTCCTACGAAGGTATAAGGTATGTATCCCATGGGTTGTTCGCTAAAACTCATACGAAGAATAAATTCTTACGAGAGTAAAGCAATCACCCTAACTAATTTGGATCGAAGCTCATGTCTAGAGCTCGTGTTATGCTAATGAAAGTGATGTGTGTGAGGAGAAACAAACAAACCTTTGACTCAAAAACAGGGAAAATAAAAAAAATAACACCCAACGAGAACTAAGAAATATCTGAAAAAAATGAAAACAATTAAAATGTTAGTATATAAAAATAAAGAGATAAAATAATAAATAAAAATTCAATAAATAGATCATAGTTTTACTAAAGATTCGAACTTATAATTTCCACCATAACGACCATATATAAGCGACCGACAGCCTGACTCTCTAGCGGTCCCCAGCAGAGTCGCCAAGCTGTCATAATCATTTTTTGTAAAACAATTAAATATTATTTTAAAAAACGATTACGACTTTAATTTGGAAAATTTGGTGATTTTGAATGGATTTGAATAAAATTGAAAAGAGTCGCCATCGACCTTTGGGTTAGGTAGGTCAAATACCTAAAAACGTCTTTTAAAAACAATTTTAAGAAAAATAATTTTATAAGACAAAAATTTGGTCTACGTTACCAAAGATTCATTTAAAACAGGTTCGGGAGTCGGTTACGTGTGGGGAAGGGTAAACACCCCCACAACACCCAAAATTGGTACTGTGTAGCTTACACATCGTCGTAAATGGTGGAAATTACAAATTGAATATAAAACTAAGATATGATTCGTTTATTGAGATTTAATTAATTTACTTCGAATTATTTTATCAGAGAAAATTCTTTAATTTGAAAAGAAATCTCGAGATTAACAATCCTCCGTCGGGAAATTAACTCGTCTATTTCTTATCTTTTAAAGAATATTCTCTCATCATTTATTTAAAACGTATCGAATATAAAATGAAAATTTAAAATTTACATTCACATAAAATAAAGTGAGTGTCACTTAAGGTACCACACATTACATCATTTTAATAAATTAATTAGTAAAATATACTCGACTTGTTACAAGTCCCTATGTCGTTAAAATGCCGTATCGGATCGTACCACTTCGACCAAGTGGTACTTTCCACGCCCATTCTACGCATACGTGTTCTTGAAAATAATCGAATATTCTTACATAGATAAAATATAATGAAATAAATGTGATTGGAAATACAAAGATTTATATTAAATTAAAGTAAACACAATACCAATAATCATCTAATGAGTAAAATGCACATCCATACATAAATGGCTAAAATACAAATTAGTAAATATTACAGACCAAAATAAATATTAAAACATTTAAGGGGCTAAAATATAATTAACAAATATTAAAAACAGTAAAACAAATAAACCATAAATCATATTAGGGACCAAAATGAAATGAAAAAAAAACATAAAGAACTAAACCACAATTAAGCCAAATGTTAAACAGGGACTAAAACGAAACATGCATAAAATAATATGGCCAAATTCGAACTCTAATAAAAATGTAATAATAAACCAGATAAGGACTAAAATATAATGAAAGTAAAATAAACAGACATTAATCGATATTTAACCCAAAATATGAGAGTAGTGATCAAGATAAAAGTTTCATAAATAAAGAGTACAATGTCTAAACTTTCAAAAATATTAACAATAACCAGTCCAGTGACCAAAATGAAGAAAAACATAAATCACATGTCCAAATTCGAAGATCATAAAACATACATAATATATAAACTAGTGATTCAAATAAAACAAAATAAAACTATAGGCTCGAAATAAGATTGCATGGATTTCATTTAGTGACCAGATTACAACCCTTACAAAAGCTTGAGGGACCTAAACTGTTATTTACCCATAAATGTTAAGGACACGCGTGCAAGATTACAGAGGTAAGAGGACCAAATAGGCTATTAGCCCTTAATCCCATCACTCGGCCTCCCTCTTGCTTCAAAACGACGTCGCTCGACGTCTGAAATATAACCCTTTTAAGGGTTATTCTGAAACCCTAAAATCATTTGCTCTCTCCCCATTCCCTCAGCCGTTTCACTCGTTCTTCCCTCCCCTTCTAGAGACAGAGAGCCAAAGAGGCCCTCCACCTCTCTCCTTTATCCTCCGCCGTGGAGAAAAACAGAGGTCACAAACGCCGTAAATCGGCGGTGAAAACCCTAGAGAACCCTAAACCCTTCAGTCTTCCCTCTCCTTCCAGAGACAGAGAGCCAAAATGGTTCTCGACCCTCCTCTTCGCCTTCCTTCTCTCATCCTCAACCGAGGATTTAAACCCTAAACTCCCCGGCTACCGTAGATCGGTGGCCATGGGGAGTAACCTCATCTCTCTCTCACCTAAAAAAACCTAAGTGAATCATAACCCCAAAACCCACTGCACTCCAATCCTAACTAACCTAGAAGAGGAAAAGGCTTTACCTTCAGATATGGGGCTAGCTGGGATCGGAGAAGGTCACAACGAGATTCTCGGTGGTGGTTCGAGAAGGTAAAACTTTTCTTTCTTCTCTCTCTTTTTTTTTTGTTTCGTATCTCTCTTTTTTTCTATTCTCTGGTTTTTTTTTCACCCACCGTCCATTTTCTCTTTTTTTTGGTCTTTTATGTTTGCTTGCCTCGGATTTCTGGTGAGATGATGATGATATCTAGGTAGAGCCTGGCTTTTTTCTGATTTGGTGGGATAGAAATCCCGAATATTTAGGGATTTATTGGTATTTTAATTTGGAGTTTAGATTTTGTGAGATTTGAACTGTATATGATATATTTTCCTGATTGGTTTTGCTGTAGATGACAATAGTGAAATAGTTGGGGTCAGACCGGAACAGTGATGGTGGCGGCGTCAGAGGAAGAGAAGGGGAGGCTCGGCTTGAGTGGCTGGCGTCTGGGAAGCTGAGGAGTCACACGGCGGCTGGAAGTCCAAACAGAAGCGGCGGCTGAGTAGGGGATTAGGGTTTGAAACCCTAATATGTTTTAGGGTTTAAAACCCTAATCTGCTAGGTTGGGTCTGGGTTAGCAGTGGGCTTCTGGTCTCTGGGCCAATTGGGCTTCGGGTTGTTGTAATGGGTCAGCTGGGTCACTTTGTAATCAGGCCTTAATTTGGCCTGCAAAAATATATGTAATTAATTAATAATAATAAATAACGATAATAATAATAATAAAAAAAAAAGACCCGGACAAAAACGGGTGTCTACAATATGATTATTAGAGTTTATGTTTGTACAAAATTTTTCAGACATTTCTTCTAATTTATTTTTAATAAATTTTAAGATTAGTCTTTCACTTTTGACATAAACCTTAGACCTTTTTGTGATCCTCAATCAACTTCTTATATGTCTCATTGTGATCTTTATTATTCTCTGTTGATTGTTAATTTAACTTTATATTTTAGATTTTTCATTTTCAAATATGTTTAATCTTTTTTATGATTCTTATTTCTTTCTCTTAAGCTGCAATTTATGTTCATTTATTTTGATTTATAACGAATCTAATTTTTATTGTCATTTGCATCGTCATCACATCTCACCTACTTGTTGTAAGTTAGAGAATAGAAAATCTCCAATGAACGAGTGGGTGATTGTAGGCCATTAATAAGTAGTGGCACTGAGTGAGGGGGAGGTTGGTGTTTTAGTGACCCAATATATAGAGTTTAGGTTTGGATTTGGGATTTGAATGAGTATTATTTAGGGGTGAATTAGTAGTTTGAATCCTTGTTATTTGAAATAATTTTGTTTTAAAATATCTTTGATATTAAATATCAATAAAATATATAATATTAAAATAATTCATGTCTTCAGTTTATTTATAAAAAAAATCATTTTACATTTTTCAATTCTCAAGCGTGCAGGCATTGATGGAAGAATTTAGAAATAGTCATGGAAAATAGAGTAGAGGCTTGAGATATCAACACACGTTTTAAATCCCTTAATCCAAGTGTTACCATAAGCAACAATTTTCCCGATGGATTAGTTGGCTATATCCACCTTCATAAAATTAGATTCCTTTTCTCATCTTTGTTTTGACTCAAAACCCAAAGTTACAACATTTAATCCTCTCTTCTCTTTGTTTCACTCCAGGCTCTGTGATTCAATAACACATTTTAACAAGCTGAGTTGAACCAGAAGAGCTCAACGAGTTGAGCAATGGGGGTGACGAGTCCACCCAAAGGCCATTCTTACCCTTATTCCCTCGCCAAGAAGCTTTTGCCTTATTCTCTTTATCCCCTTTATGTTCTTCTTCCCATAGCTCTCTTTAGCTTTTGTCTTCACATTTTTTCATCTACCCCTAGCCTCACCCATTTACCTTCCTCCAAAGGTAACACTGACTTTCCGACTCACTGAGTCAAATTTGTGAATTTGTGTTCTTTAATATGGGTTTTTGGTCTTGGATTTTGGGGTTTATTTGTTTTTAATTTTGCAGGAGAACTGATACGAAATGGACGATTTTGTAACTACAACAATGGCAGATGGGTGCATGACAAGATGGGGCCTTTATACAATGGCACCACCTGCGGCACCATCAAGGACGGTCAGAATTGCATCTCCCATGGCAGACCTGATCTTGATTACCTATATTGGCGATGGAAACCGAGGCGATGCTGGCTGCCGAGGTTCGATCCCGATGCATTCATGACCTTACTTAACAACAAACACGTAGCTTTCCTTGGTGATTCCATGGCTAGGAACCAATTAGAATCGCTCCTATGCATTCTAGCCACCGTCTCCAAGCCTAACTTGATTTACACGAGTGGCGAAGACAACAAGTTCCGGCGATGGCATTTCGCTTCTCATAACATCGTCGTATCAGTTTATTGGTCGCCGTTTCTGGTTAGAGGCTTCGAGAAATCAAGATACGGTCCGAATTATAATGAATTGTATGTGGATAGTGTTGATGAGAGGTGGGGAGCTGATTTGGACCATATTGATATGATTGTACTGTCAATAGGTCATTGGTTCCTCCATCCGGCGGTTTATTACGAGGGCGGTTCGGTCTTAGGTTGCCATCACTGCAATGCATTGAATCATACCGAGATAGGGTTCTACGGTGCGATGAGGAAGGCTATAAAGATGGCATTGAAGACGATAATCGAGAGGAAAGGGGCTAACAATGGTAATGGGATTGATGTGTTTTTTACCACGTTTTCACCTTCGCATTTTGAAGGTGAATGGGACAATGCCGGTGCTTGTTCGAGGACGAAACCTTATAGGAGAGGTGAGAGGAAGCTCGAAGGAATGGATGCAGAAATGAGAGCTATCGTGATCGAAGAAATGGAAGCCGCAAGACTGAATGCTAAGCGGTTTAATGCTCGGGTGAGGCTAGCAATATTGGATGTGACCAAATTGTCACTACTTAGGCCTGATGGCCATCCGGGGCCTTACATGTATGCATTCCCATTCGCTAATGGGATTCACGATCGAGTTCAAAATGATTGCGTCCATTGGTGTTTGCCGGGTCCGATCGATACTTGGAATCAGATAATGTTACAAGTTATCAAGAGATGGAATGCTCGTTCAAGGAGAGTAGTGAGGCTAATACCATAAAAAAAGCCATACCGTATTGCTAGGTTTTGGGTTGGTAAATGAGATAATTGCTTTAGGTTGCCATTGTGTTGGAACATAGTGTGGGGTTTCTTTTTAGGCTTAATATTCAAATTTTCCCTAAATTATACTCGTTTATTTTACTTTGATACCCGAACTTTTTTTTGTTCATTTTGGTACCAAAAGTATTGCATAAACTCTCGATTATATTCGAGGTTAAGCTAGATCAAATTTCTAAAATAAAAGATTTATGTATAATACTCGAATTTAAGACTTTTTCCAAGGTACATGAATCAGTAATGCATTAGATAAATTTTATTTTATTTATTTTCAAGATCATGTTGTCCTTTAAACTAATATCAAATAATTTAATTAATTTTTGTACTTAACTTTAAGTAGTGTACCAAACAAATTTAACAAAAGAACTTAGTTCATGCAGCAGGCAATGCAAGAAGCAGCTAAGTCCCTAATACTTAATATTTAGAATTTTATTAATTTGATTTGATTATAGTTCAAATAACTATTTAATATATTCGATTTATTTTTCGGTTCATAAATTAAAATAATCAAAACAATGCAAAGGAAACAAAATATTTAATTCAGTTTTACTTCTAAAAAATAAAATATTGTATTATTTTACGTGTCTTTATCTGAACCAATGCATGCCCGGAATTTGATTGGCGTGTTTGACAATACCCAAAAAGACAAAAGAAAAGGACTAATCAGAATTCTGAAAACTGCTTCCAATTTAATGCCATTTGTAATTACAAAAATCCCACAAGCTCTTCTTGAATTAGCTGACATCAGCGGCGGATGCACTAAACCCCTTAATTTAAAAAAATAGTTAAATTTAATTTAATGTGTTAAAAAAATTATAATTTTTATATATTTATTATTTTTAAGAAAAGAAAATTAAAATTTTAGACTTCTATTTTTAAATTTCTGGATATGCTGACATTATTAAGAATATATATATAATTTAATTATAATGCTCCAAACCTAAGTTAATTTTGGTAAATGTTGTAAAAAATAGAAAAATATGATAAAATTGAGAATAAAATAAGTTTATTATTAGAAAAGAGACACACATTTACAAGTGAAAAATATGTGTTAATATAAACATGATCAAATAACGATACGTATGTAAAGATATTGTATTGAAATATTTAAAAAATTAAGATCAAATTAATATATTTTTAATTTAGGGTAAAACATAGTAATGGTTACTGAATTTTTTTAATCTTTCATTTAGGTCCCCCAACTTTTAAAACTTGCAATACAGTCCCTCAATATTTAGTCCGTTTGTAATATGGTCCCCCAACATTTATTCTGTTTGCAATATGGTCCACGACCGTTTGACGCCTTTACACTACCGTTAGTACGTTTTGCAATATGGTCACTGAACTTTTCAGGTGCTTGCATTTAGGTCCCTCAACTTTTAAAATTTGCAACACATACCTAAATTTCATTATAAAACCCAAATTCCTTTTCGATCTCAAATTTCCTTTTTTCGCTTCTCTCTTCTCATTTCCAGCTTAACTTTGAATAAGGGTATATTGAATAAGACCCGAGGATGCATGGGAAATTCTAATCTAACTTTGAATTATGTGGAGGTGTTGACTTGAATAAGGGTATATTGAGAGAAGACTCGACCAAGAGACTATCGAGATCATCAACGATTCAAGGTGTAATGGTAGATACATGTCATCTCAGGTGAAGCATAGATGTTCGATGAAATGCTTGTGAGAAAAAAATGGGGTTAGAAATGCAAAGTTGACAAATACTACTAAGATGAACTAAGTATCATTGTTGAAAGTCATCAACAAAGCTGAAATTATTTTGTATAAATGACATATAATAATTTATTCGTTTAATCCTTGTACTTTAAGATTTTCCAACAGATGATCAAATATAATGAAATCCCAAACAGCGCAATCACCTCTCGTTTGGTTTTTGTTCTTTAATTTTCCGCTATGTAAAATTATAAACCAAGCAGTGCTCTATCTTTCAGCTTTTTATTTACAAAGAAAAAATGGAGGAAGAATTGCTTGAACGCAACACCGATTGCTTTTATTTCTTAGCCTCTCCCCTCACTTGCAAGAAGGTATTTATTTTCTCTTTTGGGCTATCCGGAAGTAAGCTTTTCCTCTTTCGCACTTTCCCATTTTCAACTCGCATTGTGTGTTTTTTGTTGAAATTTTTATGTTTCTAGAACTGCATGTCAATGATCTGGATATTCGGTGTTAGTTTTGAACCAAAACCATCTAATTTTCTTTCTTTCTTCTTAATCAAAACTTTTAGTACTTTTTATGAAAGATATTCAGTCCATCAGAATAAAAGTGAAATAGAGTCTTAGGCTAATTTTTTTTGATCTTCTTGTTTGGTTTTTCTTTAAATCAGGGAATTGGTTGTGAGTATCGACATAGTGGAATCGCCAGGCTCAATCCGAGAGACTGCTGGTACTAGTTTACTGGGGATTGTATTGATCCGACTTGTGGTTTTCGACGTCCTGTGAGTTCGTATTCTTTTTAATAAGTTCATGTTGATTATGAGACTGATATATCGTGAACGAAATAATTTTTCTTCTTCATATTTTGGAAAATTTTACAGTTGAATTGTATTGAATTATAGCTTTAGAAGACAATTCTGCATGCACGTAACTCGAAAGGTATCATGACAGCGTAGTATATTTGGAGTAGCTACTTAACCTTGTCATGATGTCTTTCGAGTTGCGAAAGAGACTGAGAGGTGAATGCGTTGTTTGAGATTTCATTATATTTGATCATCTGTTGGAAAATCTTTAAGCACAAGGATTAAACGAAGAAATTATTATATGCCATTTATACAAAATAATTCCAGCTTTGTTGGTGACTTTCAATAATGATACTTACTTCATCTTAGTAGTATTTGTCAACTCTGCATTTTTAACCCTATTTTTTTCTCACAAGCATTTCATCGAACATCCATGCTTCACCTGAGATGACATGTATCTAACATTACACCTTGAATCGTTGATGGTCTCGATAGTCCCTTGGTCGGGTATTCTCTCAATGGACCCTTATTCAAGTCAACACCTCCACATAATTCAAAGTTAGATTAGAATTTCCCATGCATCCTCGACTGAAAAGTTACGCTGGAAATGAGAAGAGAAAAGCAAAAAAGGAAATTCAAGATCGAAAAGGAATTTGGGGTTTAGAATGAAATTTAGGACTATGTTGTAAGTTTTAAAAGTTGGGGGACCTAAATGAAAATGCCTGAAAAGTTTAGTGACCATATTGCAAACGTACTAACGACAGTGTAACGACGTCAAACGGTTGGAGACCATATTACAAATAGACTAAATACTGGGGGGCCATATTGCAAACGGACTAAATGTTGGAGACTGTATTGCAAGTTTTAAAAGTTGGAGGACCTAAATGAAATCTTTAGAAAAGTTAAGTGACCATTACTATACTTTACCCTTTAATTTATTTTGATAAAATGGTTAGAGTGCATAGTCTTGCACATACGTTATAGCTACTTGGTTTAGTCAATGCTTACTTTGGTCAAAGTGATGATGGAGTTGCTGCTTCTCCACGTACTCCAAGCCTTTAGCTTTACGTGGTTGAAGAAGCAAGAGCGTAGTCAACAGAATTCACCCATTAAAATAAGTTGAGAAAATCAAAGCCAAAGATCAGATTCCCCCGTTTAGTTCAAACTTCAAACCCCGTAAAGGAATTTTTGGTTTTTTCCTCTTCAGACCTCACTCTCTTTCTCTTTTCATTGGTGTAAACAAACTCCACCTTATGATGCCTTAAGCAGAGTCATTGAATTACTTAATCATACTTCCTTTGACTGTTGTTCTGTTATTCTTTTATCTGCCATTTCAATGAAGTTTGTCCATTACCTTTCTCACTTTCCATTGCAAGGGGACTTGTGATATTTTCTCTGGGTTTTTTGTTGTTGTTGGTTTATTGCAACGTTTTCTCAACTTGGAACCACTTTTGGCAATTTGGGTTTCGGTTTTTAGAGTGTGGGTTTTGATAAAGTTTTGATTTTTGGATTGTTTTGAAGCAAGGGGAAAATGGCAGGCGGAGGAGGTGCTGGTGGTGGTGGAGGAGCTGCGCCACCACCAAAGCAAGAAGAAATACTACCACATCCAGTCAGGGATCAATTGCTTAACATTGCCTATTGCATTACTTGTCCTCCTCCTTGGCGTGAGCTCTTCTTCTTCGTCAGCTATATTCAAGTGTTTGTATCCTCTTGTTCTTCTAGCTATATTCAAGTGTTTATATCTTCTTCTTCTTCTTCTTCTTCTTCTTCTTCTTCTAGATACATGCAAGTGTTTATATCTTCTTCTTCTTCCTCTAACTGTATGCAATTGTTTATATCTTCTTCTTCTTCTTCTAGCTATATTCAAGTGTTTATGTCTTCTTCTTCTCTTTTTCAGCTATATTCAAGTGTTAATATTTGAATCAAATATGTATTTTCTCTCTCATTGCAGCTGAAGCTATATTACTGGGTTTTCAACATTACTTAGTGATGCTTGGGACCACTGTTCTTATACCAACATCACTGGTTCCTCAGATGGGAGGTGGAAATGTATGTTTTTCCCCCAAAATAATCAACTAGTTTCTCTCTCTCTCTCTCTCTCTCTCTCTCTCTCTTGTGTATTTTTGTCTCAAATTATGTATGCGACTGCATCAGGAAGAGAAAGCCAAGATGATCCAGACATTGCTATTTTTGGCCGGGGTGAATACATTGTTTCAAACATTTTTCGGTACTCGTCTACCGGCGGTGATCGGAGGTTCTTACACTTTTGTGCCGACCACCCTTTCCATTATCTTGGCCGGCCGATATAGCGACATTGTGAATCCTCAGGAGGTTGCTTCAATAAGTTCATGAAGTTTTGTACTATATACATGTGATGTGCTTATGTACACCTTAACATCTGAATTGGACTGGTTTTGATCTATCAAATATGCAGAAATTTGAGACGATAATGCGTGCGATCCAGGGTCCTCTTATCGTTGCCTCGACTCTTC